GGGAAGATATTGGCGGGTATCCGAAGCCTTGGCAGTGCCCGTGGTCAGGGTTTTCGCGCGAGGCCGCCTTGGCCCAGGCCCCGCTGCTGCCGTCACTGCGCTTGCAGCAGGAGCACAGGGCCGTCCATCAGCTCCTCAAGAAATCCATCAGGCGGTGGCAGCGGGGGAATTGCGGCACTGTCCCCGCGGCCGTGGCGTGGAAATGACCACTTGTGTCCCAGTTTAGCCCCTGCTGCCTGCGCGGAGCCCGTTACAGTGCGGCGCGTGCTGCCCCGCGCTCCCACCTGGGGAGGGGGCTCATTTGTAGTTAAAAATCTATTGTGACTTGTCAGAAAAATGAATAAATGAGCACATTATTTTTTCATTTTGGAGCTCAGCATCTGTTTGTCTAATCAAGAAAGAGAACTGGGAAAGTCAACCAGGGCTGACGCACACATTTTATTTAACTTTTCCTCTGTCAAAGGAGTTTAAATGTGTAATGAACAGGCCATGGTGATTTGAAATATAATCCCATTACTCTGATGAGATTACCAAGGCTGTGAGAGTTCACAAATCATGCTTAGGGTTTTTAGAGGCACAACACCCTGTTGAGATTTTTGTTGTTTTTGGTTTTATTTTTTTGCATTTAAGCAGAGGTGTGTGTGTGTGTGGAGAATAAACCATGACAGAGCTTAACCCTTCACGCAGGGTTGTGCGTGGGGCTGTACACGGGCCCAGCTCTGCCCATGGCCCCTGGCCCTGGCGCAGGCCCCGCAGAGGTGCCCGGGAGCAGCGCCCAGCTGGGGCGGGGGGCATGGGGCTCCCTCCCGCTGTCCCTGCGCCCATTGTGCCCGTGCATCGCCATCCTCATCGCTGTCCTTGTCCCAGTGTTGCACCAGGGTGGCTGCACTAAGATGTGATTTAAGGGGCATTAATTTTAGCAGCAGCACCCAATGCCATCACCCTCTGTGGCAGTGCATTTCCATGAAATTCATGGGCCCATTTTAGACACATCTCCATAAATACCCCCCCCCCAATAATCTCCAGGCTGCACCCAGGGCTGTGTGATGGTTTTTGTCTGGTGTGAGGTGGGTGCAGCCCCTGCTCTGGGGCCCTGCCCCACCATGGCTGTGAAAGCCCCCGGGATGCACCAGGTTCCCACTAACCTAAACCCAAAGGTGCCCCTGGCCAAGCTGCTCCTGCGGGAGGAGAAAATTCAGAGACACCTCCGATGCCTCCCACAGCAACCGACGCTCGTCAGCGCGGAGCCACCCTTGTTACCGGAGCCCGCAGTCACCCTGCTCTGCCCGAGCCCCGTAACGGCGCGGAGGAACAGCTTGGCTGTCCTGACCCAGTTGAATGCCCATCTGAATCAATTAAATCTACAACTACCAGGGAAAGACCAGCCCGGATGGATCCGCGTTCAGCTGCACACAGATCACAGCCATGAGCTCCTGTTTAACTCTTTCAGCAGCCACTAAATGGGGAAATCTCCACTCTGTGGGAGAGGCTGCTCCCCTCATGCAGATCTTTCCAGAACTGAAGGTTTCCTCCACTCCATGCATTCAACTGGATCTGATTTTTGAAAAATAAATTCACTTCTCAACTGTGAATGGCTCTTTCCGAGCAAATAAACTCATTCAGGGCTCCCCCCGAGCCCTCGGAGCACCCTGCAGCCACAGCGCCCCTGTCCCCATCCCCATCCTCATCCCCCGCTCCCCGTGGGGACGCACTGCACCACAGCTCACAGCACTAAAATAAAGCTCCTGGAAGGTGAACTATGGGATGGTGCAAGCGCACGTGGTCCGGCCAAGCGACTGTACCCACAAACCCTACCACAGTTTAGACAGATTTTTTTTTTATTATGTGAATTTTTAGGCTTTACTGAAAGCAAAAATACTGCACATATTGGATACCTACTGATAATAAATAAAGGTAAGTGAGTGGCAGTGGCATTACAGCCAAGAAAACAAGTAAGGGACTGCTGTGGTTTCTGATACAAATGTAGGCAATTTTTAATTCAGTTAAAAGAAATTGCAACTAAGTGGAAAAGAACATTCACATAACAACTTTAATGTTAAATAGTCACAAAGTTGGTTAAAGGAGTAATTTACATTGCATTATTTGAAGGGTCTTTCTCCATTGCATCTGTGCTGCACTTGCACATATAAAATATTAAAAAAAATTAATACTGTACTATAAAATATTGTTTCTCTTGCTTTGCAGGTATCATGGAAGACTGGACAGTGAAGATCTGCCCCCGCGGCGCGGGCAGGACTCCTCTCCCAGGCCAGCACCGACACCGGTGCCGCGAGGGCCAAACCTTTAAAAACCGAGAAATTAAACCCAACAGGTAGGGACGTGCAGACCTCTCTGCCTCCGTGTTTGCTCCTAAACTACGCGTTAAGGCTCAGGAGGTTTTGTCTGTACAAAAGCAGGGTAGGACGCTGTACAGGGTACCCTCCATGGGGTCCTGCTGTGGCAGGGGGGGAGCCATCTCTGCCCTGGAACCCGCAGCCCCGGCTGGGGTGAAGCCTTGACCTGGGACATTTTTGGTGATATAAAACCCCCATCAGCAGCAAAGCCCCAGCTTCAGCGACTTGAGGGGTTCATGAAGGACAGCTCTGGTGAGATGAACCCAAACTGCAGCTCCAGCTCCCGTCATCCCGTTCACATCTTCCCTGATGCCCTAAGGATGGACAAGGCCAAAATGGTTACAAATCCCAGTACAAAGTAGGTCCTAACTTTTATTTTTAAATAACAATATTAAGAAAGGTGAAGGCATTTCTCAGTCCTCAGGAGTAAGCTGTCTCGGAGAGGAAGCGCAGACCCCGGCACGGCAGCCGTGGACCGCGGGGGCAGGAGGATACTCCCCTCCAGCACAGGGGCGCTGCCTTGGTTTTCCAAATCCGGTGCCCACTACAGCAACTCCCAATAAAATGTATGCAAAGCTGAAAAGCACAGTTAAATAAAACCGGTTTCGGACAGAACAAACCCAAACAGCCTCGACTGCCGCGACGTCTCCTCACGAATCGGCTCCCCGCGATGGCTGCTGTGCCCTGGCTCGCAGTTGCCTCCTGCACTTCAGCAACAGAAGTGAAACCATCTGGGACTGCAGCCTCCCCCCAAAAGAACTGTGCATCATATGGACCTTGGAAAAGATTACATCTGTTTATTAATAGTAAAAATGGATACATTTGTCCTACATTTTGTTTTTAGAAATTTGATCATGTCACAAGCAATACCTGCGTGTACGTGGGTGTATTACAGATGTATATAATTTATTTTAACCAGGCGGTGAAATAATACGTAATCACATCTCTCCTTGTGATTGTACATAATACAGTAATTAAATGATGCCAGTCTACGTCATTCTCTTATTTCTAATCAAAGGAACCTGAAGCGTAACAGTCGTCTTTCCGGCTGATATGGCTATTTTTGTCACGGGGGAGACCTCCCATCGCCGATGCAGGATAACCTCCCAGCGCGAGACGGGGTAATTCGGATTCCTCCCCGGCTGCTCTGCACGGCGGCAGCAGAGGCTCCGCAGTCTCCCCTGTGCGGGCGGTGGGGAGCATCTCCTCCTCCCAATCGGGCCCGACGGGCTCTCCTCCTCCCCGCGTCACTGCTGCCCCGACTTCTTCTCCTTCTGGAAGCTGAAGCTTGTTCTCCTGTTCAGTTTTCTTTGTTTCTGAGCAAAATAATCTGCTCTGGCTGTGCTCGCTCGCGACTCCAGAATATAGTTAACCTGCAGGACACGAAGGGGATTTCATCTTGTCAGGGCTTCAGCGGGACAGCGGCTCCTCCTCAGCACCCCTGGCCCTCGCCCCCAAACCCAGCGAGACCCCAGCTCTGGTCCAGCACAGAAATGGGCTTCAATAAGAGACTTGATCAGCCCCAGTAAAAATAACTCTTTCGTTACGATGTTTGCATCCTCAGCTAATCTCACAGTTTCCCTGTGTTTTGGCACATTTTACTTGATGAAAGCATTTTTAAATGATATTTAACAAGCCTGCTATTCCCTAAATTTATTATCTCCAGTGCTTTGTGATAATCACATAGATAATTTTAATGGAAGGTTAATGCAAGAATCAAAAAGATAAAAATGCCCTTTGGTCTGCCATTAGCTGGTTAATACGCTGTGGCTTAAAACTTGCACAATTTTATGCACTGTAGAGTGTTTCACTTTCATTGCATATTACAGCTTAAGGCATAAAAATATAGCGAATTTTCATGGTCAATAAAGCCTTGGTCTTTCTCACTTGATCATGTAAAAAGCCTAATTTGAAAAGTCTGATTTCTCTGAGCCTGATGCTGACGGAATTGGAAACAAACTGGTAACTTATGCACAAAACCAGAAAATGCTCTGTATAAACAACTTGAGCAACAAAGCACTGCTCAACAACATTGAACTCCTGAATATTCATGTTCTTCGTAGCAAATCATTTTGTTTCAGCCTTCCTTTAGGACCAGACTAGAGTCACGTCAAACGTTCTGGATTACAACAGTTGATTTAAGATAAAGTGGGAACAAAAGAATTGCCCTAACAGCTCACAAAGCCAGCAGAAAACCCCCAAAATACATTCACCTTCTACAAGAAAATTATTTTACTGTATGTCAGTTATTTAGTAAAGCTCTAAACTCCACACAGCAAACAAAAGCAAACACAACAGATGGCTTGCCAAAATAACTGCTTTTTAAATTCTGAACTGCTATGAAATATTAGCTTGTGGAAAATTAAGTTTAATCTTCGAAGAGCGTAACAAAAGTTTGTTTCCCAAAGCGAGCCAGCACGCGCACGCATTGTGCCACAGGAAAGGAGAACAATTCTGGGGAAGGTCAGAAAATGAAAAATAACCTTTCTGGGTGTGCCCCGCGGTGCTCTGCCATGGGGCTGGCAGAGCATCACCCCCGTCCAGGGGTGGGCACTATCTGGGCATGATAAAATTCGGCAGTTTCCTATAGAAGTCCCCAGAAAACTGGTGTCTATTAACTAGAACCAAATGTAACAGGAAACATTACGTGCAAACAGGCAGTGTGCTGAACGGCTGCTTAAAGATGAATAAAATAACCGGACCAAGCAAGCGCCGAGGTAAGAGAAACACACCTCAGCGGTCCCCGGCCTCTGCACCCTTCTCGTGGGGTCCTTCCATGCCCAGTGAGTGGTAAAACCCCCAGGATTTCGGGTCACGCTAAGATTTCATACTCACCTTCAGTACGATTTCATTGACAGTAGCAGCATCTGATTCAAAGTAAAGGTGTTTGTAGTCGTGATTGCTTAGATATGTAAGTTTAAATATTGCATGACCTGCAAAGATAAGGAAAAAGCCTGTTCAGAATATTGGGTGAAGTCTGAGCAGAGCTTGCGCGCCCGACAGCAGACAGCCACAGATGGTGATCTCAGCGTACCATCAGCACGGCAGAAGGAGCAGTGAAACGCTGACAGGCTTCTCGTGTCATTTCAATTTAAGGCAAGTGGTGGCTTACAGGAGCAGCTGAACTCCGCTCAGCGAAGTTCCCTCTCCCATCACAGCCCCACTGCGGGAGATGCAAAAACCCATCAAACGGCAGGTTAGCTCCCGCACAGCCCAGGGCTGTTCCCCTTCAACCCCTGTGTTAGGGCTACTCTGTGGAACTGTGCACTGTTACCACATGCTGAAGGTAAGCGTTGTATTTAAAATAAAAGGACAATTAACCCCAGAATCATCAACGGCCGCTCCCCAAAACCCCACTCAAGCCTTCCCAGCTGCTTACAGCAAAGGGCAACCTTGCCACCGTGAAATACGAGCGGACGCAGCGACGATGCCGTGAAACGGACGCTCAGACCCAGGAACGTCACTGCCTGCAACCACAACAACCAAAATTCAGTGATTTCTATCTGCAGAGCCCTTCTGTGGCAGGTCTCAATGATGGTGGTGATCCAACGGGCAGGGGGTGCCGCCAGCCCCCGCGGCGCGGGAACTTCCGACCTCCCAAAGCAATGCTCTGGACGGGGGCTGTGACGCAGGGGCCTACGCAGCACACGTAGAAATGCAAAATATCCCTCACTTGTACGTGGCTTCACAAGGAAAACGAAGCATATTCTGTACATTACACTTTTCCATCAGTTTTCTCACAATTTATTCATTTCGAAGGTCAGAGTTAGTAATCCATAAAGTAGCAGCCACATTACTGTAAATTCAGGTCTTTCCCGGAGGAAAGCTAACTTGAAATCTTATTTACTTCATCTAATTCTCTAGATTTCCAAAAAGCGACCGATAAATGCTCAGATCAGTGGTCAAAAACTTTGGGATGTGAGTATTTTATTGTGGCATGTTAATTAAACACCATTATGATGCACTAATCTTGAATATAAATTCTGTATTGAAAAATTGGCTAATAATAATAATAAAAAAACGCCTTTAAATCATTTGACAAATGATGCCTCGGTGGTACTAAAAATGCGGGAATTCCTAGCGCGAGCTCATCAGTATGGTGATGCATGCACGGCGCTGCTCGGGACTGCATTTGGCATCTTTACGATCCCAAAAGTGCCCGTGCCCCGCTCCTGGGGATGTGCACAGCACCGCGCCCCCCAGCTACCACAGCCTTGGACCTTCATTACACACAGGTACGGAAACCAATTACCAAGACCGAAAACTAAAATGGCCCAGAACAGGGTCTGAAGGGCTCCAGCGAGGATTTGGTTTGGGTCCTGGAAGATCACTGGGGTCCTGGAAGACCACTAAAGTCTTGGTGCGGACCAAGGCTCCCTTCCCCTGGTTCAGGTGTTCTGTCCCAGGGTTTCTTACACCCGCGCCCAGCCCCGCTCGCCGGTTGTGCACAACACCAGCCTCAGGTGATGGAGTGGGAAGCCGCAAAGAAGACTTTTCTTCCACAGCCCCGTTGCGGGATGATGTTTATGTGCTCCGTGTCCACTTTACACCACTTCCAGCGTGAAATACGAGTTAATTGGAATCGTAACTGGCGCTTTGCTCTGCTACTATTCTAGCCAGATGGAATTTATGAATTGTGAGATTGATTTCCATTTCCAAGAGTGCTTAAATACGTGATGTACCGCTTTCCAATACATGCCACCCTCGACAACTCAGGGATCGATAGGAACTTCCGTGGTTTTACATTTCTGTGTGAGAATATCTGGTAACAAACAGCAACAGCTCCAGTGGCTTCGACCACGACAACAAATGCAGATATTGCAGATATTGCCATTGCAGCTTCCAGAGTGACCGACCGAAATGTGCTCATGGGCACCAGCAAACCCTGTGCCCATTTCTGCAAGCTGCAGTTTTGGGAAGAGCCACCAAAGCTTTGCAGTCCACCATACCTCACTTGATGCACGTGAAAAAAAAGACATCACTTTTTATTCTAAGTAATAAACTCTTTTCATCAGCCTAAAAAAGCTGCTTTTTGCCTGGAAAACACCGGACAGATGTGAAGTTGCACAAGAAAAGACAATTTTTTTACTGAATCTGCCAAGACTAGAAACAGTTTTACTTCTCTCCCGTGCCCAGTTCAGGCTGTAGCACATCCCTCTCTTGCCAGTGCCACTCTTTCAAGCAGTATGGACTGAATTAAACCACTAATTAGAGGGAGGATGAAAAGAATACTCATGAATCGGACAAAACAGAAAACAAACACTGGGAAATGCAAATTTATGTTAATTTTTCAATATACCTTGATGATTGCTTTGTCATTACAGGGCCATAAGGCAGGAGTCAACAATTAAGAGTTATTAGGTGAATAATCAGCTAAAGAGAGACCTCTCTGAAGAAAAAACACTTCCGGGCATCACTTGACATCATCACAGATTTTCACCATTTCAGCAATGGTGACTACAACAGGACCAGGCCTTGAGGTCTCTCATCACAGACTCAGAAAGGTTACAAAAATCAGGAAGACATTAGTAAAAGGGCAAGGAATGATGAAAGTAAAATACCCACATACAATGTTTCCGTACAAAGGCAAATTTCCTTAAAACACTGCATGAAATGGGGCAACCTCCAGTCAACAACTGCTGTATTTAATCTAAAAGCTTTGGGGAGGGAGTCTGTTGTCTGAAACCCACGTGTGCCACCTCAAAAATGATGAGGAACATTGGTTGTCCACTTCTATGTCAAACTGTGATAACTATTCACACATCTGGACCTTCCCCCTCCTGAAGCCTTTTATTTCTTCTTTGAATTATTACGAAAGACAGAATACTAATAAAGATTTTTGTAAGAACTGTGAAAGTTGAGGTGGAACTCGGGGTTGCCCAAAACCTCTTCACCAGCAACCTTGTTTGGGAAAAAAAGATGATAAATAAATCAAAATGCACTAAGCAGTGTTTCCACATGGCAATCGCCTCCTTCATTGCGTCTGCACCTCATCAATCACGCCATTGTCTGCTTGAAAGGCGAGCCTTGTAAATGTCATATCCACTCAAGCCCAAGGAGAGGCGAATCAAAATGCAGCAAGGAGTTTTAATTGGATAGTGTAATTAAACTAAAAAACCCCAGCAGAATAGCTTTGACAGGATAGATGAAGACCCCTTTTAATAGGGCCACAAAACATATTTGTTAAAAGGATGAGGCAATGCTCACTCCTGATTGTGCTCCAGAGGACTTTTATGAACAGGCTGCTTGGCCGCCATGGGGTTCTTCACCCGCATCGGTGGGGCAGAGCCTCGAGCGCTGGAGGGGAGCGGTGAAACCAGCACCAAATCGCTGCTGCTCCTCCAGTCTGGCACAGCCCTGCATCTCCGGACACAAACCTGCACCCCTGGGCACAGCCCAGCACCCTGGCTGCTCGCGGGGTTCACGCTGGCCCCCCCATCCCAGCACAGTCCCAAGCCCGGTGCCATCTGTGCCATCGCTGCCATCCCTCCGAGGCGTCTCCCTGCTCTCCACGCACGCTGGGGCTCATCTCTTCCTCATTTCTTTGAGATTTCTTTCACTCCAAGTCTGAAGTTCGGGAACATTTTCTCTGCTGATCCTATTCTTTACCTTTTGACCGGAATCCATGACTGGTCTCCTATCAATTTTCCTCTGTTATTTCCCACACCGCGTTATTCACAGTGGGAGCACGCGTATTAAGAATTACCACATGGTACTTTGTGCACCGTTTGCAGAGCACATGGGTAAACGTTGCCTCTCTGTTCCGACTCCACGGCAGGGCTCTGAGCAAACGTGCAACATCTCTATCCCAGCTCCCCGAGCAGCAGGCACCCATCCCTGCCCAACGCTTGCTGTATGTTTTGAGTCCTTTCACAACCCAATAACGAATTCATTAAATTAGTACTACCCAACGTGCATAATCCAGAGGAACTGGATACTGAATTAAAACATCACATACCTTTAGCTTTAAATCAAAACTACATAAAAGCATTTCAGGCATCACTCTGGCTATCACTAACAGCCAGTATGAATACTGCTAGAAAAGCTATTTTGGTGCAGATGTGGAATTCAATGGGAAAGACTGACTCGTGTAGCAACATCAATCAAAACGTCGGCGGCGCTGGCAGCTCCCGACAGTACGGCAGGTTCAGGGGTCGCAGGATAAAGAAAAAGCCAAGCTCTGGTTCAGCTCCAATATCTCCTCGCTGGAAGTCTCGCGGAGGTACCTACCCCCCTTCTGGACCAGGCGGCTTTCATTAATCTTCTTGCCATCTTTTTTAACTAGTCATGCAGAACCGCTCGATAGCGAGACATATAATGGGGAGGCCCTGTGCCTATTACCAGGTTAACACTCTGTTAAGCCCCAGTGCAACAATGGAATCAGAATTTAAAGGAAATCTTAAGCTGCAGGGTGCAAAGCAGGCAATTAAATTACAAACCCAAGTTACCAATGTACTCCATGACCTACAGAACACCTTTGTTTGGACTTCCTTAATATTAAGGATACGTTGACCTAGAAACTGAGATGTATCTGCTTTATTAAAACAAAAAAAATGGCAGAAAAGGGATCCCACGGAACATTTCTTCAGCGTTTGAAGTAAATTATCAAATAAATCCAGTTCCTGCAGCTATCAAAGTCCCCATGAATGGAAGACCCCCATGTATTCTGAACAGGGTAAACCTGCCCAATTGATGACCCACCGTGCCATGGAGTCCTGGGGTCCGCTCACCCCTGGCCCTGGCCCTCACCGCATCCATCGCTGCCGCGCCCCGTCCACGGGGCACTTTGTAAAGCAGCAGCGGGCAGTGACACTGAAGTTTCTCCCTCGTCCAAGTAATGTAAGAGACATTAAGAGAATCAGATTTCCTTTAAATTACACTATTGCGAAGGGATATAATTGTATTAAACGTATTATGTTGCTTCCTTAAGACTTTATATTATGTACACTTAATTGAGATACAAAGCTCTTTTCAGCTATAAAAATGACAACTACTTTATTAAGGCTTAAATCTTATTTCTCAATGATAGGATGCTTCCTTCCAAGACTCAAAACATCCAGAATCTCTCGTGATAATCAGACCGAACCTGATTTAAACAAGCCGTTTATACACAGGGTTTTCAGGTCCTAATGGCATTTGATCGAGCCAGCAGGGCCATTACCTCTTCCCTCTGTCTAAATTCAGGGAGTCTGATTTAATTTACAAATAAGAATTCAAATGCTGACCCAGGCCTACAAGGGCAAACAAAAATCATCAGCCATTCCTGCCTACAATACCCACACTAATGGCGAATTAGATGCCAAAGCTTTATATTTTCATTTTCTGTTTTCCCTGAGCACAGCTCTGTGAGCTCCAGTCCAGCACAGCCCCACGTCCGTCTGCGAACATCGCAAGGCGTCACTGCCGAAGCTGTCGAGTCCTTTCCACTCACACGAGTGACGCTGAAGCTTCGCTGCACGGACCTGTCTTTTCAGAGAAAACTTGCAGAAAATCAGCACAAGACTCTCCTCTACACTGACACACCATTTCTGTTTCCACATTTCTGCAGAAAAGTGCCAGTAAAACCTCTGCAATCCCTCTAATCTGCAGAAAGTAAGACCTGACTGAACATTAAACCGTGAACTACCTCCTCCAGAGGAGCAATCGCTGCAGAAACTTCCAGCTGCACCGACCACAGCAACCAAACCCCACTGCCTGCACCTCGAGTCCTGCCTAAAATCAAGGTCCCCTTCGGAGGCTCCTGCCAAGCCCTCACCTCCCTTTCAGGGTTCCCAAAGTCAGCAGCTCAATAACCCATGGTGGGCGCTCACCCGGTACAACCGTACAAGCACTGCACATGTGCACAATGCTGCTGAGAGACGAGATGGAGCGTGTTTGTGTTACCAGAGATAAAAACATGAAAACAAAATATACTGCAGAACTCAAAGACCTTATCTTTGCTCAGCCTCTCTTTCTTTGCAATAATTCATTCAAGGAAGATCCGGGAATAATTTTTGATGTAAACTCTGCTACAAACATACATCACTATGCTGATAAAAATCACAGACAAAACTTGTGAAATACTGAGTGTTTCATTCCTTTATGCTACTAAAATAACTTTTTTCCATTTAAAATTCAAGAGATACCGATCTGCTGTTGAGAGTTCCCCAAAATGTATCATTCTGAGATGTCACACTAAATGTCTCTTCCACTGCCCTAAAATAATGACTTCTGGAACACCTCAGTGGATTGGGAAGAGGTCAGCAGATTTCAGGAGGAATTATTTTCTCCTTATTTAATAGGAAAAGTTTATGACGGCCACGTGAAGATGAGTAAATAAAAAACCTCAGTAACATAAGGGTTGCCTTTGTTGCACCCTGTCAGCATCCTCTCCAAAGTGACTGGGATCCTTCATTCAATGGTCCCACATGAAGAGATTGCCCTTCTGCTGCTGGACTGTACCTGGAGGTTGAAATTCTGTCCCTTACTTCCCTGGGTTGGCAGGGTTTGGGCACAAACACCATTTCCTACAGCAGCAGGGGCTGCCCTGGGGCTGAGGAAATGCATCTGAAAATGAAATGCGGCTGCAGACCCAGAGGTGTTGGTGTATTTACAAGTGTAAAACCACACCTTGAACTACAAAGCCAACGGTGAGGCGATTTGACCACAGTCCTCTGGGAAGTCTCTCCTTGGGCTTGTACCTTCCTAAGGGCCATGAAATTTGGCTGGAGAGACAGAAATGGAGAACAATGACTGGACTGAGAACATGGAAGTGGGAAAGGGTAATGAAGGGGAGAAGGATATAGTTCAATAATTGCTGATAAAACCTGTGGCAGCCATAAATTTACTCTTCCAAGAGAATTCAACAGATCATTACCTCTGTAAATATGTATCACATAATTCTCCCTCTCCGTCACCTTGCAGATAAGTACTTAATACTTAGCATCCTACCCTGCGAAAGCACAAGTGCAATAAAATCCATCTGAGCTTTTGAACCGCAGTTACTTTTTGATAGTAGACAGTCACATTTTGGCACCACTGGGAGACATTGCCCAATTCCCCCAGGGCCTATCCTGTGCTTTTTAAAAGAAATTTTACAGATACAGACTCTTATTACGCCACCAACACAACAATCAAAAGCACTTGGCTTTTGGAGTGGTGCTCTGAACATAGCCAATGCTGACCTCCTGTTGAACTGGGATGTCCAGAGTGACCCAGGCATGGGCATCGCTTTCCCGAAACCCAACTCTGAGAGCAGCACATTGCAACCCCTGCGACCTTGCAGCCACTGCTGAAGCGAATTCAGACAGTGCCGATACTTACTGTGTGTCTGAGGTCCTCAATCGCACCTAAGAAATCGTTTAAAACCAGTCTGGATGTTGAGAAGTTCAAAAAAATTACAACCGTTGTGAAGCATATATTTGAGTGCAGCGCTATGGGGCTAGAGAGCGGCCAGGCACAGCCGCTGTCTCCCTGGTACAACGCTGTCAGAAGCTACCAAGAGCGGGCACAAAACGCCCTTAATGACACCATTAGCTGTACGCCGCGTTAAAAGGACACTTGCAAAACCTGAATCTGTTTCTGTTGTGTCCTCTGTAACACAATCCAGTCAGATTAGAAAGATCCCATAATGAATAAAATACACCTATAGAAAGAAAAGGACACGGTGGCAATAATTCTTTGGCCATCTAGCACGCACAGGGAGGGAGAGGAGAGAGGACATAAATAAAAAGGACTACTCACTTGGGCTTTTTTCTTCCGCAAGGTCACAGGCACAGAGGAGTTCAGAATCGATTGAAATGGGTTTCTGCTTAATCCAAAACTTAGTGCTGGCCTTCTGATTAGTAACGGGGTCTATCTCTACCTTGTCTCCAGAAATACCTGGGATGAGAAAGAATAGAGAGCCACAATAGTGATCTGTTTAAGCGATTTCATATCAGCCGTTTGACACACTTTATAAATCTTAAATGGGATGAAAGTATATTGCCCTTTGGGGCTTTTTGAAAGTATAGGAGCTTTTGAAACCAAAAGCAAATGGTCATCAAACTGCATCGATAATCTGCATTTTATTCTCCTGCATAAGCACAGCAGCAAGAAAGAAATACCACAGAAAAAATCCTTCTCAGCACATACAGAGCTCTTCTGGAAGCAGCAGCTACAGGAGCTGCGAGATTCACAAGAAGATAGTGCTGGTTTTCAATCACCACTGTTACACGTGACAGACACTATCGCACCCTGTCCCAGTTCCACCTCCCACACCGCACAGACACCGTGTGCTCCATGAGGACAACGCTCATCCACAGCACCGCAGAACGCTCCTTGTGTCCCCCAGATCCTCCCAGAAGGCAACCGGCCCCAGCGATCCTCATGGTTGCACATTGAGGGCATCGCAACGCCAGCTCTAACTGGGCTGCTCTGGGAGTGAGCTGAGGTTTGTGCTGCTCCTGGCAAGGGCGCCAGCCCCGCTTCCAGCACGGCTTCCCCAGACGGCCACCGCTTCGCTCCCGCTGCCACCGCCGCATCCTGCAGCACAGCCCTGGAAGCGAGAGCAGGAATTCTGCTGCTATCCCTCCAGACGCTGCTCCCGGCGCCGCCTGGGATCTCCACCATAATTCAGAGTGCTCTGTATCACAGTACTGCAGAGAAAAAGCCCTGACGGACAGACAGACATCGTTCAGTGGCTGTTAACGCAACTGAACAAACTTCCCAGTGTGCTTCTTACATCAGGATGTGTGGAGCCTTAACAGTAATTACATTTCCTCAGCCGTGAGCTGCAGGTGAAGCTCACGAGAAAGCAAGAAAAGGAAGCAATGCAGGAAAAAACGTATTTAAACATCATTTAAGTCTTTCATCTCTGGAAAAACGGCAAAAATAACCTTTTCCCTCTTGAAGGTTTTGGCTATGACGCTTTCAAATACCTTACACTGGGCTTGCCTGAAGCACACTAAAACCTAAAGGAGCTGATGAGAAAACTTTTAAGAGATATGACAAAATAAAAGCAAGATCCCACACACCTGAGGACTCTCCCAAGCCCTCCAGAATTAACTCAGTATTTTTGAGTATTTCTGGCCATAGCTGCACAATTTGCGAACCACGTTCATTTGTATTTTATGCAACTCTTGAAGCAAAGCACACGGAGAGCGAGAAGCAGATGCCCAGGGCGGGCCCTCCATGCACACAAGGGGAGCCTGGCTGTAACCCTGGCCATGGCAATAGGTTATACAGACAGGTTATAATTGATAGATTATATAGATAGGTTATAATTGATAGGTTATAATAGATGATAGGTTATAATAACCCACCAGCCCTCCACTCTATTACTCCAAGAATGCGCTTTGTCACTAACCATACGTCACATCAGGGAGCTCAAATTTTAATTAAGTGCGGTATCGAGAGCCCAACTAACACCAGGACTGCCAGAACCTGGTAACTGGAGCAGGCTGGTGCTGTATCTGGAGCCCATTTTGGTGTGCAATTTAATTTTGGACAGATTATTAAAAACCAGTGTTGTTATTCCACTGTAATCATTAATGATTCAAAATGGCATTTTCTGTAGTTGAAGGAACAAACACGAAGGTGATGGTACAAGTTCTTATTTTCTCACCAAAAAAAGTCAAGGCAAGCTCTAAAAACAAAGGTGCAAATTCTTTGTGTGCAAGGGTTGCTCCCCAGCCCTGCCTCTAAAAACATCAGCCCTGAAAATACCCTTACAAAATTTCACTGCATGGTCCCGCAACTTCAGAATTCACAGTCAGTCAATATTGTTAATGCACCTTGTTAATTTGATAGGATTTGTCAGGTAACTCCACTGGAAAATTATATAAAACTGTTCCAGATGAACAGATGATAGTGACATGAATTAAAGTGATAGAACAATAGTGGAATATAAACCAGAAATGACACCCAAAGTGGCTGTTGATTTATTGCCATCCTGAGTTTGGTTCTGGGCTTCCATGTATATTAGTGCTACAAATCTGGGTCCATTTAGCAGCGCGATGCTCATACATACATCACCGGCTCCTGCTCCAAGCCAAGGTCACTCCCCGTGGCATCAATCTTCCCCGCAGAGGCTACTTCACCAAGCACGGATTTTGTAACCATCTCAGATGGAGCAGACTTCCTCCTCTTTCATCTTTTTTTTATCATGTAAAATACACTTTAACTTCTATTATTTTTATCTGCAAATTGTTGCTGTACACTTCATCCATTATTTCTGTATCTCGTCATCACCAGCTTAAGCTCACACACATCCCGAGACCGCACTGACAAAGAATGTTGTCTTTTCTGTGTTATTGTTCTCACAATCTGTATGCGCTGAAACCCAAAATCAAAACAGTTTTATGTATGCGGCTTCTACGGTCTCTGAATCGCAGCACAAATTAGTCATACTCAAAACCCACGTAAAAATGCTGCTTCTACTATTTTTTAAATTCCTTCATTTTACCAAAAGCCATGTCGCCGACATACGAGTCCAGTAACACTGTTCTGTTCTTGCCTCCTTTGCTGGGGTCTGCAGCTGCCCCTCATTTCCCGAAGCACTTGCCAGCAGTAATTTTCCAAGACAACATGCTGCTTTTACTTTTGCTAATGTGACACACGAGCAAATGTCTTATTCCTTCACTACACGACAGAGCCTTGGTAAAAATGCTGAGAGTGCTGCTGTACATGCACTACCCTGTAGTGTGAGCTAAAACGTAAACCCCAGACCTTCAACTGCTACGGTTCAAGCTTATACTTCATACTGCAATAAAGCATCAGCCAAAAGGTGGGCAACCCTCCCACGGGCATTTACATACGAATTTTCACTACAGAAGATCACGCAGAGGGCACAGGAGATGGAGCTTACTCAAATGTGTTCTCCCCAATATATTCACCCTGCCATGGGAGGGTGAACTGGGACTCTCCCCTAAAACCCCACGGATATTTCAGTACCCCCTCTGTGCCGTAGCTCAGCAGGAGCCGTGGGACCACTCTGGATTCTCAGTGTCCTCTGGCAAAACCAGTGCTTTGCTATGGCTGCTCCATAAAACTGCTATGGAGAAAAGACTTTGGGATTGGCCACCACAGAATGGACACGGAGCAGCTCCTGAAACACGGCTACTGATGAGCGATGAAAAAAGTTAAACATCTTTATTGACATTTCAGACTGTGTGGAGCCGTCTGCCACTCGCGCAAGATGAACACTTCAACACACAGCAGCTCTCAGTGCTTATTTTACCAGCATTGCTCTTAATATCTTAAAAAAATTCCAGAAGAAACCCCAGCAACATACACTTATTTTGACTGTATTTAGAGGCTTTAACGCTGAATATTCGCCCAAACTTTGAATATGGCAGTAGGGATTTCTCTGATTTTCACAGAGCAATTACATTGTAAAAACGCCATTGTCAGGGCACTGCCGTCAAAACCACACAAGTTCACAGATTGTTATAAAAGGGAAGTTTTATGGTCCTTACGCTCCTGGGCAGGGTCAGCTCCTCGCTGCTGCCCCAGTTAAGCCGTTTGTTCCATTCAGCAGCTGCTCTCCTGCACCCATTTATCTCTGTGATCCGTGACCCTGCGAGCTCTTGCTCCTGACACTTCCCAGTGCCAAATTCCCTGGAAGCCAACGCACGTCCAGACACTGCACTCAAAAGCAGAAAAGGTGCCCAGCGCCGGGCGGCTGCAGCACTCACACAAATCCTGCCCTAGCACGGCCCTTCAACACAACCCAAGAAAGCCCCGCAGAGACGCAGACTTTCAGACACGCTTAAGGAGGGAAGGACGACGAGACTGTAGTGACAAAAATACAGGGACTGCTATAGTTTAACAAATCTACTGAATTCTCCAGAATAAATGTATTTTGCAAACATTACGGCACTTAATATTTTACTGCTGAATCACTTCTTTATGGAAGGTATTTGCAGGAATGTCACAGGTCACCTACCAATGCATCATTAATCAAATTTTCACAATTTAAACACAAAGATAAAAAGCCATTCAATCATTTTAAAACAGTAATGGGGCTTTTATAATTCAAGATTCTGTCATCCCTTGGCCTTTCAGTTTTCAAAAGCATTCAGAAAGCTAATAAGGGCAACATAAAACCTTTAGAGAATACTGGTTTCATTCTGGTCCACCTCAAATTTCCACTTGGTTGTTAAAATCTTTCAGAAAAGGAAAAACCCAATCATTCCTAATTTTGCATAGCCTCATTTAAAAATAACAAAACAGTTGGCAAGAAGCTTTCCATTAGGGAGCTTAGATTAAAAAAAAGAAAAAAAAGACACGGGGTCATTAAATAATGGCCTCCTTTCAGAAGAAACATGTGCTAGCTGATTGTGGATAATAAAAATACTGAAGTATTTTCAACTGAAAGCCATTTTTTTAACCGCTGAAATGCCAGCAACCCTTTCAAGCAATGTGCTCCACGATAACGCAGACCAACACAGTAATGACCGCTCTAAAACCAGCTGAGATGGACAGTCAGCAATTAGAGATGGCCAAAAGGTTGAGCCACTCCATTTTCCGTGGCGTTCCAGCAGGGATTGATTTACCTAACTGGACATCAGTGGTGAATCGCAGCCTGTGGATCATGCTGACTTTGAAGGACTTGTAATGGTGGCTGCTGAGCATGTCCTGAACCGTGGCGATATCGATCTGCGGGTCCTCCTCCGAGACCTCCTCTCCTCTTGAACCTGCAAAACAAGCCAGCGGTGATGAGCGGGAGCTCACTCCTGGGTGCTGTTCAGCAGCCCGTAAGCACGGCCGTCACCTCTGCCGCTGCCGGTGGCTTTTCGAGAATGACCACAACGCTCCAGCCCGTGTCCCCAGGAGGAGCAAATTCCCACCCTCCACCCAAAGTCAAACCCACCAATTCATTAGGGACATCCCCACGCACATTTGGGTCCCACATGAAGAGCAACATCCCAGCGGCACCCCTGGACTGTAGACGCCCCCAGTCCAGCACCCTGGGAAGGCGCCTGGCAAAGGGGACCTGTGCCCACAGTGCAGCGTTTTCGGGTGCCACCCCCGACGCGCTGGCACAGCTCTCCCACGTCCCCATGTCCCCAGGTGGGATGTGACGCTGGCATTGCGATGGCAACCCTGCGCTTTATTTACTGATTAGAATTCTCATTACCCCTGCAGGTACTGGCTTTATGAAAGGTAACATCTAATTAAGCCAAAATGCCAATTACTGAAAAAATATAACGCACTTTAAAGATTTTTTTACATTTTATGACATTGGATTAACACCAATTTAAACATTACCATAATGCGATATATAATTTTGCGCAGAGTAATTTCTATGCCAGCTGCTAATAAAGCATCTCAGCTCTAAATGATCATTCAGATGCTGTTAGATAAAGTGGTATAAATATGTTTGAAAACTGATTTAGCTTCTTACAGAAGATACTGAAGAGTGACACGTTTTGTTTAATATCCCAGCTAATGCAGTCCTAAAAGCTGAACCAACTGCCAGTTCAGAGTACTAAATTTGCTGCAGGAGATTAATGAAAACTTTATATTTTGCTTAAATTTTAATAATGGGAAGATGAGATGATGGAATTTTAGTACAGGTCTTAAAGCTCCAGCAAAGCAGGCTAAAAAGTGTCAGATTTTTGTGTATGAATGTTGTTTGAGCCTTGCATGGTTGGAGCATCCTCAGCACCGATGCCTCCCTCTGGGGATGCACGTTCCCACTCCGCTCGGGGCTCGCAGGGAAGCGATGACGGTTTCCGTGCCTGGGCTCCAGGGAGGAAAACCCTGGCCCTGATGTCAGTGCTGCAAGGCAGAGGCAGCTCCCTTTGAACGGGGGAATTTGGAGCTGCAGGACACGCTGTTCGCTCCAGCGAGGGAAACTCTGGGGGCGGTGGCCATGAGCAGGACACAGTGCACCCGAGCACGCAGCGCTCTTCTCGCTGGCTGAAAGCATTCCCTTTCCTATGTCTTAATTCAGTAACAAACGTCATCGCTTATGGATAAATATCTTTCATGTCTGTATCAAACCCAGGTTAGCATTTGCTGTGCAATGAGTCAAAATAGGTAAAGCAGGAGATTCGCACCTCACAGCCGTCGCTCACACAAATTCCCCCTGCCCGCGGGAGAGCGATGCCCACTCCCTGCCACCCGTACCACAGCCTCCGAAACACACCCGGGACCTTTCTGTGGGGAAGGGGACAGCGAAGGGTTAAGCTACAAATTGGGCTGTGCCATTCGACTTGAAAGAATTCCAAAAATCAAATGAAACACAGTCTACATGTGAATTTATGCAGAGCCATCTTAACATTGCAACCACTCTATGCTCCAGAATGACAAGATAAATTGTAATGGCTCCTTCAGAGACATTACAATGTATTTTGTCAAAGACCCCTGTGTTAATGTCTCTATACTATGGATTATCATAATGTATCATGTCAAACGCTCACGCTGCACTACTTCAAAGATACACCGAGATATGTCAAACTTTTTGGTGCACTTAAAAGCATCTTGAAACACAGTGGCACGGCAGTGCCTGAGAGCAATGCAGGGGGATGGCAAGGGCACTGCTGCCCCGCAGCCCCGAGCTAACGGGGACCCTCTTCCACCCATGGAAATCAGTGAAACTCCCGCTCGGCCCCACAGCTCCCCGTCTCCATATCACAGCTCCCAGTCCCTGCAGCGGCTCCCAGTCCCCATGGTGTGCAATCGCAGTGCCATGCTGGTACATGTGCTGCAGCACGGTGGGACCACGTGGTTACACTGAGCAACCCCCGGCCCAGGGAAGTCAGGGGCTGGGGACGGGGGGATACGCAGTGGGGCTGGGGACAGGACACCCCGCAGGTGCTGCCCTGTCTTTGTGTCCCCGGCCTCCCCATGGGCCTCCAACCGCCCGGCCTCACCGCGCACACCGAATTGCGGCAAAGTGGGGACACTACGTGCTGGCTTTACGCGGCTGTGGTGAAGCTGAGCCTTCTCAGATTTAACACACCCAAATTCAAAGTATCAGGAAGAAAACTAGCAGCTGCCAGGCCATATTGAGGGGAAAAGCTGTCACCATAACTAAAAACGTGAGCACCTGTCAGTGTCTGGACCACGGGAGCACCGGCCGCCGCAGCTGGAGCAGTGGCACAGCGGGGCTTTGCTCTGGAAGCCTCTCAGCCCCTGCACGTCCCGGTAACCTCTGCGACTTTGTTTTATGAAGCTTTGTGAATGGATTCAGGTTTACAGGATTTCTGCAGTTGCTGCTCTTGGGAAAGCAGCCAGGAACTGCACCATCAGAACAGCTCATCTGTCTGAGGATGGCACCACACGCGGACCCCCGCGGGCGTGCCGGATAATAGTGGTAATATCAGTAACAACGAGAGAAGTGCCCTGCAGGGAAAAACCTGACTGCAGAACTTGGCATCTTGCTCTGGCCCTGTGAGGCAGCGGGGAAGAGCCATCGCCACCAGCGGATTGGGGGAGAACTCGTAAAAATATTTTCCACATGCAAGCAGCTGTGAATAAACCTGTCAAATATTTACAGGCCTGTCAGGGTGTTTGTAATGGAGATCACAGCGTGGCTTTTGAATGTAAAAGCTTCTGCTTGGGAAGACAATCAAGTAAAGTGGATGCTCCAGGTCTATTATTTAGCCCAAAGCCGACCCAGCAACACGCAGAGACCCTGCTCGGTCCTGGAAGGAGCAGATTGGACGTGGATACTCGGTCTACAATGCCCTCTTTATCTTTCCCTTATAGCCAACCTACTTAGTGAAAGAAAGATTTTCTCACAGAAATTACATTTTTAAATCCCTAGAGCCAGTCACCATGTGAGAATCATGGTGCTGGACGGAGCCAGGTCCCACACAAGTTGTGCCCTCCGTGCACCGATGGTCTTTTTCCTTTACCCATCTGATCCTTATCAACTCTCCTGTCTCCATCCTCACCAGAAGAGGAAGGCGATTTCTCTCCAGCCGGGCTGCTCTCCATCTCTGCTCACATTGCTCGTGCAGCAAAATCACACAAAGCACCAAACCACAGCCTCCTACGTAAAAGAACTAAAACCCAAAACCTGAGTGGTGTTTTCTGCCCACAGAAGCTGAATAAAACCCAAAAATGGTACCAGGGGCTCCCTGCTGCGCCACTCTCTGATGGCCACTGTGCTGGAGCACGACGGTGTCCCAGAGGTCAGACATGGCACCATTTGCAGTCTCTGCATTTTCAACCAGAAAACCAACAGATTTCCCCACCTGGAAACAACAGCTGAAGATCTTTATGCTGTTGTTGGGTCTGTTTGCTTTGTGTTGTTTTGGGGTTTTTTTAAACCAGGTTCAGTACAAAGGCAGTATTTTTGTTCAACTTGAACTCTCGTGTTATATCTGTACCTCAGTCTAATTTTTTCATAGAAAATCCTGATTTCCAAATGAGACAAACAGCAATGGAACAATTGGCGCTGGGAGCACAATCCTGAGAGCAAGCTGGAAGCCAAAAGAAGGAGCCTTATCCAAAAGGGACTCCTGTAGGCACCAGAGGACGCGTAAAAATGACACATCAGCAGTATCCGAATATTGAAATGCCGTATATAGCCTATTCAAGTGCAAGTGAACCTGCATTTCCTCGATAAAACAACAAAATATAAAGTTAACTGCATTGCAAAAATGTCCCTTATTACTTTAATGTACTGGTATATTGCTTAATGAAAGTTCTTAACTGTAATACAATTAATTACATACACAGAGTCCCCAGTTACGTTTTGCAATAAGACACTGGCTTTGGTACAGGTCTAAAGGCCCTAAACCAATTTTAATATATTAAGACCAATTTCCCTTGAATACTAATTACTATCTAATGATAAAATGAGAAAGAGGAACTTTCCAGAAGTAAGACAGTAAGAATAAAACTAAATTAGCCATGAATAGTTTGCTACTACACATAAAAGCATTTCACATTACAAAGTGCAGGCTTTTAGTTTAAAGATAAATCTCAGTGTGAGTTAAAAAAGTTCTGCAAACTGGAACAGTTCCTTACTTTGAACGCTATGAGTAAATGCTGGGTAGACAGGGGTTTCTCCAAACCCATTTCTTAATAAGGGAAAGTTGTCTGTTTCATTTAATACCCTGAAATATAAACTTTCCATTTGCCCAGAGGAAACTGGCAGCTGCTGCACTAGCAGATGTTCGGCATCACACGTACATATATACATGTACTGATCAATGAACACGAGACTGAGAAGAGCACTTTTAAAAATAATAGCTGTTACAACTGAGTTTTCCCTGACTGGCATATCTAAGCTAAAAATATTTCAAATAAAAATAAAATGCACAAAATTAAGATTTCATTTTGATGCTAGGATTTTCAAGCTATTATGTTATTAATAGTGCAAAACTGTCAATATTTCTATCCTAACGCCACGCCAAAAGATAGCTCCTTAAGCACTACAAAATCCAATTTCTTACAGTGCACTGGGGGAGCAGGCTGTGAACAACGCATGAATTACGGCTGATCTCGTACTGTTGTCCTTGAACACCCACGCCTGTGGAGTTCACTGCACGGGTGTCCACACACATTCCTGAGCAGGGACAGTGGAAGATTGCATTAAATTCACCCACATTTCGGGGGAGACACCATCAGCAGGCGATTTCTGCATTCTTTATTGGAGTTTGGTGTCCATTCAGAATCACTCAGGACCAGCACAGCAGAAAAGAGGCAGAATTCACGTAAACGTTTGTTATTTTGCCTCAATCACCCTCAGCCTTGAACAACCTCAACCCACGACTCCCTCCTGAGCTCCAGGCACTGCCTGACAAGGCAGACCTGGGATGGGACACAGAGCCAGCCCTGCCAATGCCACGCCACCGCGCGGGGACGGCGGCTGCGGCAGCACTGGGGGTCCCACGGGGTGTACCCGGGGCCTTCCCCAAATCACTTCCAGAAGGGGCTTCAGATCACGCCCTTAGCCAGGACCCTTGATGTGCTTAAGGACGGCCGAGAGGGCGCAGGAACTGAGAGTATTTTGACTTCTGTGTCCTGCCGAGGAGGGAAGAGGAGCAGTGGCTGCACAAAGAAGAGGGAAAGGCGTCCCTTGGTATCACCACCAACATTCGTTTTGAGATGATCCGTCTCTGGGATGAAGGTTAAAATTGCCCCATTTCCCCATGCACAGCACGCCGCTACCTCCTGCTGCATCCCCTCCTACAGTTCCTCATGAAGAAATGCGGCATGAGCACCAAGAACATTTTGGGAGAAGCCCCAGCCTATGGAGAACAGCAGCAAACCTGTGAGTGCCACGTTCAGCTCCAGTGCTGCTGCGCCCAGGGCTGGGGCAGCCAAGGTGCCCCGGGGATGCTCTGCTGTCCCTCTGGAGTAAAACAACAAATGCTACAGCCAAGAAACATAAATGGAAAGGTCGCATCTTCGTAAAGAAAGACAAAAACCCTCTTCTAGGACTTGAAACAGGCTCTTCCTGTGACGGTTTGCAGCAAACACCCTGAGCATGGTCTTGGCTGAGAGAGTGGATTCTAGGGGTTTCCTTGTTAGCACCATCAACATTTGTACAGCTGAATTAAACTGGAATGAAAAAACCCCAAAACTGAGAGCATGGCTGTTGCAAAGGATGAAGGAGAGACCAAAACGCTATGGAGGACAAACACAAATCAATGTTCAATGTCTTTTTTAAAAAAGTTTTATATAATTCCTTGTAAAGAAATAAATCAGAAAATAGTATTAAGACTGTAAAAACAGTAACAGAATAAAAATATTTGAGCATGGCTGGAGAGAAGGTTATTTGTCTAGCACTTTAAAAATCATCACACTGCTCCAGTTACCCCTCTGTGGTAATTTCTTTAATAGAATCATAGCATGGTTTGGGTTGGAAGGGACCTTAAGGATCACCCAAGTCCAACCCCCATTAAATCCTAACCCCCATTTAAATTCTATTAGGAAAAAAATCAGTGCTCTAACAGCCATATTGACATGGCAGAATGCACTGCAGGCCAATCACTTCATTCACTAAGCAACGCTTGCAACAGAAAAAGTTTCACATTTCCAGTGTTTTTCAGGGTTGGTCATAACTTTACAGAGTTTAACAGAAAGAGATTAATCATGAAGTGATAAACAGGATGCAGACTATTTACTAGAAGGTATGAAATCCATCATTTCCCTCTGGAATATTGTTTTGGCACAGCTGAGAAGTGCCTCAGGAAAGAGAATCTTGTCAAAACCTGCTCACCCAGACAGCACAGCTCGCATCCCAAAATACATAACTTAAGTGAGTTTAAGCAGTTTACAAGAGCAAAAGTGAAAAGGGGAAACATACTGTTCTCCCGGACAAGGCAGAATTCCAAAGTGCTCTGGCTCTCCAAGGTACAGTCTAAATCTACGGGGACATTAGGTTCACTCTGCTTCTCCAGCCGATACTGAGGACCTGAAACATAAAGGGACTTGTAAAATATCTGTTTTCTAACAAAACAACGGCTTAGCACGTTCAGCTAACGCGAGGTTACTCGCCCTGGGCTGCCGTGACCTCACCCCAGCTGCCATCAGTGTCACCCCGGCTGCCGTTTGTGGGGGACACAGCCCCGTCCCCCGCCGCAGGCACCCCATGGGCACAGACAGAAGCTGCCCCCTGTACCCGGCTGCGTTGCTCATCCATTTTGGGATTAAAACCTGCTTCTTTCTGAGCGCAGGCTCAACCAGGCAAACACTTGCACCTCTTGGAAAGCCAAGAAAGGCCTGGTCCCACAGGGAGGGCTGCACAGAGCGCGGAGAAATCCCTGGGAAGGAAAGCAGCCCCTCCTTTATGAACTGCCTGCCATGAACATCAGCCCCCTGACCGCTGCTTGGGCTGTTCCTACCCCGCATTCCTCATTGCTGCGTTCCCGAGACGCAGCTGAGCATTTCCACACACAGCAGCAGCCATCGGTGCTGCTTTCGGGGCCGTCCCCAGCCAATGCTGGGGCAGTTTGGCATCACCCAGCAGCTCAGTGGCTGCGCGGGGCAGAGAGGGTCAGAGATGGATTTTATCATTTCCCAGAGATCTGTATGATCCTAACGCTGAAATGCATCAAACACAAGCATGTACAAACACCACTCCTTCGAATGAAATATTTTCATACACACTGCATTTAACCGTAGATCTTCAAGATTCAGGCGCCAACTTCCTTCTTCTCAAATCAAATCACTAAAGGAAAGGTGCTACTACTTATAAACTGGTTACCAACTACAGAAAATGTATTAAAAATTGTTTTTACAAAAATTAGGCTAAGTTTTTTTTAAAAAACCCACCGCAGTGGAATGGATCCTTAAACCACAAGTCTTAACTGGAAGGAGTAACTCCACAATAACACAACTCCAGGTGAAAGCCCAACAGGCCAGCTCCAGGCCTGCTGTCTGACGGGTGAGGGGGTAATTTGGGGTACACCTCGCTCCACGTGGGACCTCCAGCAGGACAAAAGCCACTTCCAAGGGCAGGAGCTGGCGGCCAGGGCGCTCCCAACCTCGCTGCCCCCGAAGCGGCGCAGGGAGCATCCCCGCTCCTGCTTGCACCTGGAAACTTGAAGTGATGCAAAGCACCTTTAACCAGGTCTTACTGCAGCAAAGTAACTAGAACTGAAATAATGAAATCTATTCCCTCTTTATCAGTACTTAAAATACTTCTGAATGTTTCCTGACTTTGAATTATGATAGTAGATGATGAAATATTTAAAACATATAAAAAAATTAAGTATCTTAGCCTCAGATGGCGTGCCTAAGAAATGGAATTTGTTAGCCAATTAATTTTAAATTTACTACGGTGGAATTTCAATTACGGCTCCTCATCCCGTCTCCTCACAGCACTCACCACACGGCCCGAGCGCCTCCTGCTCCTGATGCAGATCATTACTTCTCTGTAAAATGGAGCCCCTGTACTCCCGGTGGCTCCAGAGCAGAGCCGGGCCAGGCTCCTCGCAGGCCATGGGGGGACACCACAACCGCTCCCTTGGACCGCAACCGTGTGTGCAGCGGTCGAAGCGCTTACAGAGCAAACCACGCTCCAGAACAGCACAGACCTCTCCCAGGGGCACAAACAAAGGCAAATACACAGCACCGCTGCCGCTTCTCTCCCAGCTACTGGAAATGCAATTAAAAATGTAAAACGAATTAAACAAACAGAGGCCTGGCTTGTTAGGCAGAAGCAAAATGTACCGAGAATTGAAACAGCTATCAAAGTGGTAAATTGATTTGTATTTACAAACTGGTGCAGGTCTAAAAACAGGACTGGCGACAGCAAAACCTGCTCACTCTGTCCGTGTGCAGGAAGCACCTTCCTGGGGGCCCCACGCTGCATCCAAACGCCAAACGGCACCTGGTGATGGCAAAGCCAGCAGAGCCGCTGGTCCCCACCTGAGTATCTGTGTTGCTGGTACCTGGTGCCAGGGAACCACTGGAGCCTCAGCCACCCCCACCACTGGGACCAGGACCTGCCACCCAGCGCCCTGGTTCTTCATGGCAGCCTCCTTTGCCATGCCCACCCCAACAACATTTCAGACCAGAGCAGAGGAAGGAGGGAAATCAGCTCCCTTTTAACACAGGAAGGTTTATCGGGAATTAAAACCAAACCAGGAAACAACCCTCAAAACTGCACCCACAGCTCTCCTAGGGTGCAATGTGAAGGTGCCCAAGAAGAATCCCACCCCATAATCAAATTAAGCGGCTCTGGTGCAAAAGGCAGCGGCCATCCACATAACAGCAAACCAATTCTGTTGCCATTTAGGCTGCAGAGCCTTCAGAATGGGGTTTTGAAAGCACGACCCATCAGTTCTAATTTTTAAAACTTATCCTTTCAGTCAAGACTAGAAAAAGGCCCATTCCAACTTTTATCTTCCCCACAAAGTGCTGTTATCTCGGGCTGATGTCAGGAGCTCTATCTCTCTTTCTGCTGACAAGCAGAGACGAGAGAGATAAGATTGGGAACGAATCTCACTTCTCTGAGTAAATAAATAATCAATACTCATCTAAATGTAAATGAGAAAGTATCCCCCTCTGATAACAGGGCTCTTATCAAACAGCCAATTTTCTACAGACATTTGGCCTCAACCAAATCACCATCATTCAGCCCCAGCCTAATGGCTAAAAATCGTAACTAAATTGAACCGATCACCAGAGATCAACTAAGTTCAGCCATGGCTACTACAGGTTCAAATGTTTGGAATGCAATTTTTCCCCCATTAACTTTCAATAGCAATGAAGAATACCACGGTCAGGGGTTGAGTCTGCACAATAAACAAACACCAACACTTAAAAGGAGAAAGGGGCTTTAAACAAAACCCCACACAAACCCATCTCCACCTGCCAATGAGTTAATAGGAGAAAAAGAGGATTACAGGAATAGTTACCTCAATATTTAATGTTTGTGGAGTTGTCAGACCTAAACTAGAAAGACCAGTATAAACAAAAACCCCAAACGGTTTAAAGCTGAACCTGTATTTTCAGTGTTAGTCTCTGTAACAAAACACAACCTATTTATCCCTTATCTTTACCCCCTCTCAAGAGCTCCCGTAACTCCCACAAAGCCCCAGTCCCAGCTCTGCTCGCTGTCAGCTGTTTCTGCCGCCTTTATGGCCCATGCATTTGCTCAAAACACTTCTGAATCTCCCATCTCCATCACACTAACCTCAGAATTTATTGCACCGTGTGAGAAGGACAATTCCCTTTTGTTCCCAAAAGCCATTGCCGCCACGTTGGGCTGTGCAGCTCCTGCCTGCGCCAAACTCCACCAGCTCCACCACACGCCATGTACTGCTCCTGCACCCCGCCACGGCCACTCCAAACCGAACAGACCCGAGCACCTACTCCTCATTTCACGTCTGATCTGTTTTTGCACTCACCCATTTTTGTATCTATGTTATCCTTTTTGAGATAAAATACAACAAGACGTGGGCACATCGTGATTTACAGACCGGCACAGCGACGCTTTCTGGTTTGTTCTCCTTTCCTAATTTCTGATGTTCAGTTTCCCTTTCCGGCTGCTCCTAAGCCGAGCTGTGTTGTTCACACCAACCCGTGACGACTCCAGATCCTTTTCTTGACTGACGGAAGGTAATTAGAGCCCCTCATTGTATACATACAGTGAGGGCTGCTTTTCACCATGTATATTATTTTGCACTCATTGACACTGAATTCTCTCTCTTTTCATTGTTCTGCCACTCAGCATTGTGAGATACCTCTGCAGAGCTCCACAGACAGCTTTTATTTGCACTATTCTTACTTCTTTTGTATCAGCCCCACATTCTGCCACATCAGCATTCACATCCTTTTCCATGCCCGGCGTTACGGGAACAATGCGGGTCCCACCAGTTCCACTGGAGCCCCACCAGTAACCTAGTTACTAATAACGGAGGGCCATTATTCCTGTTCATTGTTTCCTGTCTTTTAATCAATTATTAATCCACATGAGGATCCTCCTTCTCACCCTGTGACAGCTTAATTGCTTTATGAGCCGTTGTCAAGTCTTTTTTGGAAGGGTGAGGTGCCCCCCAGCACACAGCACCCTGCGCGGATGGGCTGCGGCTCCTCACCACTGCTGCTCCACAACAGCTATGCCCATTACTGCCTCTGTGCGCTGCACATGTCCACGTGGCACCTATCAATTCCGCTCTTAGCTACCATTTCTGGTTTGGTTTTTCCCAGTTTGCCCAGTAAGGAAGCCAAGGCATGCTGGTTTGCAATGAACAGGGGTTTTCCTTGCCACCACCCACAGGCGTGGTGACGGAGGCCACGTCAACACCTCCACGACCAGGAGGAAGGTGTAAGGTGCACCCTCACCACCACAGCACCATTGGGATCGCAGGGCTCCTGCATGTATGGCTGTAATCCCAAAATAACACACGGAAACCCAGAAAATTGAAGATGGTTGGGTGGTCATCACCTAACAGCCACAGCGGTCAGCGCCAGGCAGACAGCAAACACGCAAAGTGAACATGAGCTGTGGTTCAGGTCTGTCCATGTACAGAGGAAAGATGGGGAAGCAGTCAAGAGAAAACACTTGATAAACATTTAATGCTGGTGTCTGTGGTACCTTCCTATTTCCAGTTTCTCCTTTCACAAGGATACATGATTTACTGCCTCACTGCTCCAACCCTAGGTTTTGAAAGTGTGATTCCTTTTGAGTTTAAACTATATTTATATTTATTTTTTTGTTATCACTTTTTTATTATTGCTATAGAAAATATTTGCTAGAAATATGTTGCAGCTATTACAAGGTCATAAAAAAGAGAAGGTTTATGTATTTCTATCATTTCAAATAGTCTGTCAGAAAGCATCAGTCGTGCTAAGTGCAAGGCTACTGGATTCCAGCTCTCCCTGCGCGGCACATGGGCAGCAGATGGAGGAGCTGAAATAGCTGTGTGGGTGCTGCTGGGCGCACTCCCAGGCACCGTGCTGTCCCCAGGACGTCCTCCGTTGCCTCTGCAGGGGCTCGG